CTTTCTCTTTTTTATACAATTCATTCACTTTTAGCACCTCTCTTCTTCTCTTGATTCTCCTCTTTCTCAACATTTCTCCCACTCTCACTCTACTTACCACTAAATAATGATCAGATATTCCACCACTAGCTCCTCTCAGTACATTTACATCCAATACTTTACCAGTCACCCTCCTGTTCACTACAACATAATCCATTAATGCTTTGTCAACAACTCTTCCATTATCCACTCTGACCCACGTATACTTGTGCACATTCTTCTTTTTAAATGCTGTATAAGAAATCAACATCTCTCTCAATATACATTTCTATCATTTTCTGTCCACTCCCATACCAACCAGGTACTCCATACTTCCCAATTACACCATCCACTGGGACATTACCTACTCTTGCATTCAAATCACCCATCAACACCTCATGCACATTCCTTCCCAAGAATTCCACACACTCAAACAATTTCATCCAAAATTCTTCTCTTTCTTCCTCACTTCTTTCACTTCCAGGACCATATGCGATCACAAGTGCCCAAACCTGGCATCCCAGCCTAATTTTAGCCACTCTTATTCAATAAGATACTTCCTTCCATTCTACCACACAATTGTTCATCTCTCCACTTACTAACAGTGCCACTCCCTCTCGTTCTCTCCCCCTCTCAACTCCAGACACCCTACCTACCACCCTCCCAAATGTCACCTAACCATTCCCTTTTATCTTAGTTTAGCTCAGTGCAAATACATCTATCTTTCTCTCCACAAACATACTCCCTATCGCCTCCCTTTTACTTTCATTTACACCACAACCACACACATTCAGAGACCCAATTACTAGGGTTCTGGCTAGATCTCTCCTGCCAGGATATCCCCAAATCGCTTGGCCACTCGTAGGAAGTAAAATACAGAGGAGGGAATTCCCAGTCCCCATCCCCCCATTTAATCGACTTTTACGACACGCAGGGGAACATAGAGGAATTATTCTCAAACCCCCCTCCTTATTCCCCTTCCTAAGCGGTATAAGAACACCAGTTGTAAAGAACCAGTTTGGTGATTTGAACGACTCTGTAAATTTTATTCAGTTCTCTTTTAATCTGTTTGAATATTGTTTGTTGCTTAATATAATTGGCTTTGTTAAACTGAATGAGATGTAACATGTGACTAAGATAGTCAACAACTACTGCTTACTTGGTTTAAAAAAAAGTAACTTAAATTACGCAAAGTCAAATTCTTATGTATATGCTTGTTATATCGATATCAGCAAAGCCTTTGACAGCATCAGACATCGTGCTTTTATTAAAAATAAAATATCAAAACAGCATATTCCTCCCATATGTGTAAAAATTATCAAAAATATTTACTGTAATCAAATGGTTAATGTACGGTTAGGCCTCGTCATTCAGAAGAATGGAGGATTTTAATTGTGTCCTATTAGGAGGGGTTTTATTGGGTTTATTGTTCTCACTTTATATTGATTCGTTGCCACAAAATATTGTACAAATAAACATTGGTTGTAAAATTGGCATGATAATATCTAATGTAGTAGCTAACACTGTTAATTCTGTACTACTATCCCCATTAGCTACAAGTCTTCAGCTGTTAATAGACAATGCATACATATAATGCAGCAAATAAGCAGGATATGAAATTTAATGTTTCATTCGGAATGCATAATATTTAGTCCTACTCGTTTTCAAACTGTTTTGAGCAGAAATTTCGGTATGAGTAATCAGCCACTAATCCTTGTTGTAAGTCACAAATATTTTAGGGTTATAATTAATAATACTTTAAATAGTGAGATAATATTAATCACTTTATGAACTATTTTTAAAGCGAATTTATATGTATCATCAAAAATATAGATTACTAATATTTTAATTTAAAATCTAATCAAATTGTATATAAAACTGAAGATATTAAGACATTCTTACCCTTTCGTTTATACATTTAAAATTTTCTATGTATATCATTATTTTTCTTTGAGGATAATATAGGACACATGAAACTAAAGCACGAAGTGTAGATTCACTAATAAGCAACGCTGAAGTTGTTTTGCTGGCTAGATTTCGCTTTGTTTGAAGCCATGATTCTTAGTTAAGAGAATGATGATGTGATATTGTATTATGAATTAAGTTACTTTTGAACATTTATTTAATTCATATCTTTTGATGCATGTGACGATTATAGATTTTATATGTTTTAGCCTTTAAGGTATTTTTATTTGATCAAGTTGTAATCTATAGTATGTAGCGATTATATCTCTAATTATTTTATTTAAACTTCACAGTTTATTTTAACTGTTCTAGGTCATGACCCTTGCAGTTTAATCTGTTATTTTTTTTATTGTCTCTCATATGTCTTTCTTTTCTTCAGAGTGTGTGATTTTGATATATATATATATATATATATATATATATATATATATATATATATATATATATATATATATATATATATATATATATATATATATATATATATATATATATATATATATATATATATATATATATATATATAAGAATTTATGACTCTTGTAATTATTATTGTTATCATTAGATGAGAATGGTATTGTCTTTAAGTCTTTCTATTGGACTTTGACAAGGTTATTTTGAGCTTTATTCGAATTTTATCAGTGTATTACAGTTTACTGGATTTTTATGCTAACTATTACGATTATTACATTCCTTAAAGTAAGTGTTTTATTTACGCATTTTATGCTATATTTAGAATGCCATAATGAATATATAGATTTAAGTGTATTTTAACATCCTTGACGATGACAATGGAGGTAGTTGTTTGATCTTATTAGTTTATATAACTGAATGCCTTGTTTGATTTGCTTGTAATAAGAGTATGGTATAAGTATATTACAAAAGATTAAGATTCTCTCTCTCTCTCTCTCTCTCTCTCTCTCTCTCTCTCTCTCTCTCTCTCTCTCTCTCTCTCTCTCTCTCTCTCTCTCTCTCTATGCCGTATTATTGTCTTATAAGTTTTATTACGTAAGGCAAAACATTTTTATTGATAGACGAATGCCACAATGAACTGTTGGTGATACTGGTACAGTCAAAATTTGACTTAAAAAGGAGAATGTCTCTAGTTTAGTCGTTACTGAGTTATAAGAATGGACTATTTTCCTATTGCACGTATCTCTTTTATTTTTGATAACATAAAAGAAGTTGGTAACCCCTTTTGCTATGCATTTTCATTGAAAAAAAAATCCTTCATAGAATTCTTTTTTTTTTCAATCCTATGAATAATATGAATAATCTTACAATACCAATTGTCTTATATTTACTATTTCTGCTATAAAACACTGTTTACGAGAGCGCTTGATATTTGATATGCCTAGCACTCTGTGAGTTAATAACCGTAAGATTTTCTAATTTTACTCTATCTGAGTTACATAATATCCACTATCTCTATTAGGAGATGATATACAACATTGCCATCGTCTCATGCAGACAAATGTTTAGGAAGATGCTCTTGCACAAAATAGAATAGTAGAAATTATGCATGGAATAAATATTTTTTCAATGCCACAATTGATGAACGGTATATAACTGGCATATAAAAAAAATTTCATCAATAACAATATTGACTTGGGAAATGTACTCTTTCATTTTCTTTTTATTGGACCACTTTCATCAGCATCGATTATCAAAGGACATGCAACTAGCTGACAGTTGGGTTTTACCATTATGGCCAAACTAGCAACTGAACAGCACTCATCTCTTATTCTATATTAAGTTTATCTTACTTCCTGCGGCGTTAAGGATGTGCCCCAACTCTATTGTGAAGAATATATATGTTGAGCATCTTCCATTGAAAACAGTGACCCATTTTCATCATGTAATGTTGGCTGGAGCAGAAGACCATAGCCCATCAAGACATTAGTTGAGCATGAGGATTCTAGACCCTGATATTTTCTTATTGATTAGTCTGACTAGAATATGGTTTGGAAAAACTAATGAACTATTTCATGCTAGAGGTTTTGGGGGCAAATTACATGATTATTCCCTATTCCCAAAAAAATAATCAACACAGTCAATATATACATATAATGCCTTAATCAAATAAGCACATTACCATATGTGAAGACATGAAAAAATTTTACCCCAACCGGGACTTGAACCTAGGAGACATAATTACTGTGCCAAGGCCCTACCAACTACACCACAGAAGCTCTAAAGGGGAACAAACCTTACAGCTATATCTGCTATACCAGGAATGAACGAATTGCATCTGAATGCCACTCTATTCCTATTACAGTTTCCCCCAACCTCATTTATGGCTTCGTTTTCGCATTTAATTCAAATCTCAATCACATTTGGGACCAACAATTATCAAATAAACACATTATCATATGTGAAAACATGAATAATTTTTACCCCAACCGGGACTTGAACCTAGGACACATAATTAGTGTACAAAGGCTATACCAACTATGCCACAGAAGGTCTAAAAGGGAAACAATCGTCACAGCTATATCTGCTATACTAGGAATGAATGCATTCTATTTAAATGCCACTCTGTTTATATTCATGTTTTCACACATGATAATGTGCTTACTTGATTATTGTTGGTTCTAAATGAGATTGAGATTTGAATTAAATGCGAAAACGAAGCCACGAGTGAGGTTGGGGGAAACTGTAATATGAACAGAGTGGCATTCAGACTGAATTCGTTCATTCCTAGTATAGCAGATATAGCTGTAAGGTGTGTCTCCTTTTTAGACCTTCAATGGTGTAGTTGGTAGCGCCTTGGCACACTAATTATGTCTCCTAGGTTTAAGTCCCGGTTGGGGTAAAAATTATTCATGTTTTTACATATGGTAATGTGGTTATTTGCTTATTGTTGGTCCCAAATAAGATTGAGAATTGAATTAAATGCGAAAACGAAGCCACGAGTGGGGTTGGGGGAAACTGTACTATAAACAGAGTGTCATTCAGATAGAATGCGTTAATTTCTAGTATAGTAGATATAGCTGTAAAGTTTGTATCCCTTTTAG